TCCTCCTTCTCCTCCTCCTCGTCCTCCTCCTCCTCCTCCTCCTCCTCCTCCTCCCCCCCCTCCACCCACGCTCGAACAACTTAGGACCTCCCCTGGAGCGCGCCGTGGCCAGGATTCCGAGGCGAGTCCAGCCTCGGCGACGCGCCCCCGACCCACCACCCGGAGGAGCGCAAGCACACGATATCACTGCGGCAGAAGGCCCGCAACAGTTTTAACCGTAGCCCGCGGACAAAAAAAAACATCCCTCCCTTTACCCTGGGTTTGCGAATAAGCGTGGGGGGGGGGGTACCCACCCGACGGTGGTCAACCTCGCCTCGTCGTCGCGCCGCGACGGGTGTCGGAGCGCCTTCGGCGCGCGGTGGCTGCCCGCGACGGGGGTCGATGTGGGGCTGTCGGCGGGGATGACGCCCCCCAAAGGCTTATTAAGCAACTCGGAGTACCCTTTATTTTTGAGTATCCATGGGACTGAATGTGTTCAAATGGCCACAACAGGCTGGGAGGCCGAACTTGATCATCCCCTCCAAAGTTCCTATCGTAATTCTGTCATTCATCTCATGCATAGCACCATGAATAACCCTTAGTAACATGTGTGTGAAGATGTCTCAAGCGAAGCGCACAATTTCGAACATTCGGCAAATTCGTGGCCGATCTTGAAGATCGATTCAGACATCCTAACATCGATATCTCCGGGAAGACATATGCTCCTCCCTGGACCCCGAATTTTGTTATATCCATGGGATTCTTCTTATTGGCATAGGGTCACACAGCTACGATACTGAGGGGCCCACGATTGGAGCTCACGATAGGAGGCCACGATGCGAGGCCACGATGAGGGGATCGGGATAGTGGTACAGGGCTAGGAGTACAGGGCTGGGGATACAGGGACAGGGGTATAGGGCTGAAGGTCGGGATGATGATGTCCATAGAGAGAGAGAGAGAGAGTGTGTGTAGGTAGATCGGGATAGGGGTTCAGGGATAGGGGTACAGGGATAGGGATACAGGGATAGAGGTCGGGACTAGGATCTCTCTCTCTCTCTCTCTCTAGTTATATGTACATGTATAGAGATATAGAGATGTTTGTACACATGTAGAGAGGGAGAGAGGGGGAGAGAGAGAGAGAGAGAGAACCACGCGCGGCGCGCTTAGGTTCTAGCTTGGCGCAATCACATGATTTGCGATCAAGCCATGGGGTTGGAACCAGATACAGGAGAACCGAGGGTTCACTGAGGATTCGCTGAAGATGGGGAACCATGAAGACTGAGGACGGGGAACAAGAAGTAGATCTGCCTCCCAGCAGCCCCTTGGGGGCTCTCTGGAAGCCCTCCGGAGGTGTCTTGGAGGCCTCTTGGGCCCTCCTGGCGCCGTCCAAAGCCGTTTTGGAGCGCTCCGGGGCCGTGTGGGACCTCTTTGGGGCCGCCCTGGGGGCGTCCTGGAGCCAGCGTGGGCGGTCATGGGAGCATCCTGGCGCCTCCAGGGCCGCGAGAAGGCAACCGGTCATGTTCCCAATCAACTTCCCAGACAGCTCTCCAGTAGCGTGATGGTACTTCGGAGCCTCCGGAGACTCTCGGGCCCATGATTATAACCATGTCCCCGGAAGGCTTTCTGGGGACATGACTTGTTGGGGTGTGTTGGGGGGCCTCTTGGGCGTTCCCTGGGGGCCCCCCCTTGGGGGCCTCACGGGGCTTCCTGGGGGCCTCTTTGGGGCCTCACGGGGCTTCTTGGGAGCCTCTTGGTGGCGTCCGGGGGCCTACTAGGGGGCCAGGTCTCGCCGTGCCCTGCGGGCCCGCGAACGGGACGTTGCGCAGCTCGTCTGCGACGTCCTCCAAGCGTTCCCAGCACAAGCGCGGCGGGCTGCAGCTGGTGATCTGCAGGGGCGACAGCCAGCTTCTCGTCGCGACATGTCGACCGAGGGTCATCCAGGGCACGGCTGGGGCGAACCTCGCATCAGCAGGGAGACCCCCTAGGTCGCAGCATCTGTCGAGCTGTACTGGGCAGCCAGGCGAGGAGGCGGCGGAGAAGGCGGAGGAGGAGGAGGAGGAGGAGGAGGAGGAGGAGGAGGAGGAGGAGGAGGAGGTGAAGAAGAGGAGGTAGAGCAGGAGGAAGCAGGAGGCAGGAAAGAGCGGACGAGGAGCGCGCTCGCAGAAGAGAGAGAGAGAGAGAGAGCAGCAGACAGCTCGAAGTGAAGGCGATCGGGCAGGCGCCCTGAGGGCGCGCACCTTGCGACCTGACCGAAAAGATCTGCAAGAGCGGGCTGCCGCCTGGTGATTTGAAGAATACGAGGGCGGGCGCACGCGTGCAACGCAGACTCGGAGACGAGGCTGGATCGATGCTTGTAGTGGTGACAGGCAGTGAGCATGGCATCGGAAGACAAAGCAACGCTGCACAGGGCCTCGGAGGGGACGGAAAAGAGCTTGTGGATAGACAGTTTCTCGGCAGCGCTAGAGCACAGGAGCTCGTTGGGCAGGAGAGGGAGGTGGAGGCAAACCTCGGGAAACATGGGACAATCGATCATGTGTCTAAGAGAGTCACCACCCTGAACGCCGCAACAAGCACTGGGTGCGGTGGGGCCTCGAAACCGACCGCTGCAGGTCCAGCAAGTGCAGCTGGTTTTCAGGCAGTGGCCAAAACGCACGAGGGAACCTTGTTTCGGCTGGCCTGTGGAATTCAAACCACAGATTATGAATATCGCGGGGACTCACTTCGGGGTCATGCTCCAGTGCGCGCGCCGCAGCGTCTCTCTGGAGTGGACCTGGAGCACCTTGACCATGTAGCGTTCGACTGCGGCCTGAACTTTGGGAACCTCACGAGGACGAGCGGGGATTGCGCGCGGCGCGCGGTGTTTCTCAAGCTGGCTGCGAATGATGCTACTTTTCCAGGCAGGATGGTTGCGCCAGGCCGCACAGCGCTCGCCGGCACCCTCGACTATCGCGAGAGCAGAGTCTCCGCCTCGCAGGAGGCGGCCGTTCTCTCCGCGACGCGGCAACGAGCGGCCCAACTCCCGACCCTACTGCGGGCAGCCTCGGTCGGGGACCCCAGAAGCTCGGGGTGCTGAATGGACTCAGAAGGGATGGCGTTGAACGGGCCCCGAAGAATCACCCCGGCCCTCTCGCGCTCAGCTTTCAACGGCTGGCTGGACGGGGGGGATGGGCTGGCTCGCGCACCCCGGGGGCCAACGCACGCAGCATGTTCCGGTGCCTGATGGACTCAGCAGGCCCCAGCTTCAGACCTTGAACCCCGCGATGGCGTTCCACGCGCTTGCTGGTCGGGGGGCCCCCAGCTCTCGGCCCGGCAGTTGGCCCCGAGCACCGCGCCCAGGCATCGCTCAGAAGAGGGGCCCTGCAGAC